AGTTTGTGCCCATTGCCCCTTGTCCTGTCGCTGGGCACCACTGAAAAGAGTCTGGCCCCGTCCTCCTGACCCCCACCCTGCAGATATTTAGAGGCATTTCTAAGGTCCCCTCTCAGCCTTCTCTTCTCCAGGCTGAACAAGCCCAGCTCCCTCAGCCTCTCCTCGTAGGAGAGATGCTCCAGTGCCCTCCTCATCCTCATAGCCCTCCGCTGGACTCTGTCCAGTGGCTCTTCATCTTTCTTGAGCTGGGGAGCCCAGCACTGGACACAGCACTCCAGATGGGACCTCCCCAGGGCAGTGTAGAGGGGAAGGAGAACCTAGTTCTTTAGTTCTCACAGCTTCAACAAGGGCGCAGCGGGGAAGATGGTGTTGAGTGAATTGTGCCTGTGTTGGAAGGATGTGGGCAGGACCAGGTTTTGGTACCCACCGCTCTGCAGTAAACGGTGTCTCAGCATTTGGTAATTTCAGCTGGCCAAGTTTAAAGACCATTTATTTGCATCTGAAAAACTGCTGCAATTTAAATCTTGAGTAGAATTTCACTTTATTTTAAAATAGCAGGAGCGTATCGTTACCTTGATCTTCTCTGGCTCGTCTCAGTAGCTGTAGGTAAATAATGAGAAGGCACAGGACTATCTGGAGAGAGGACAGTGCGTGTTGTACGTCTGCATGGCGACCTTCATCTTGGAGGCTCCCAACCCCATGCATGTGTGTCTGGATCTATGTTATGCAGTTTCATTCCTTTATAAAAATAAACCTTCTAAATATTGCTGCCCAATGTGTGTGATAAACAAGACTGAACATACTAGTTGTACTCACTCAAGGTTTTCATCTATACAGCTTAGTTCGGTGTGAACTCATAGCGTTATTTATAGCTTGCTGTTACTCGCCGCATCCTGTGTTTTGTTATAATGAAAAAGCTGTCCTCTTACCACTAAGTTGTTATGTTCGTGGAGTACATGGTATGAGGTTCAGTGCATCTCATTTAGGGCTGTCAACGCAAAGAAAAATGAAGAATATATGCTGGTTTTCCACATACGTAAACTTTTACGTTGCTTTTTCACTAAGACCCCTGCAGTGAGGTGCTGCTCCAAAAAGTTCACCCGTATCCTCTCCTTGAGCAGGGAGAAGGAACAAGGAGAAGCTTGGCTGAAAGGGAGAGTTGCTTTGTAACACCAGCAGACACTGGATTATTTGGCAAAAGCTGATATGAGTTACAGTCCAACTGAACAAACTGCTGCAGTTGAAGCCCAGTGCACTGTGCAGAACTTCTCTAAGCTGAGGGAGTTTGTGCTGGGTCTGCAACTGAGGAGTTGCGCAAGCGCTCCCCAAAATTCAGAGTTTGCTTTTGCCGTGGTGGGCAAAACTGTCTACATGGTATTTTTTTCTCCTCTCTTCACACTGATTACATTACTAGCAGATGTGACTTCATGACTTAATAACGGGATTTTAAAAGAAATTCTCATATTTTGAGAAGAATAATTATTGTACAGCTGCAAGCGGTGGTCAGTGTGAGTCGTCATGCATAGCTCTTCCCGTCTCCCGAAGGACCCCTGATCTGTCGTCGTGCTCTGCAGCCAGTTTCCCAGCTGCCTCAGCGCCCTGGCACTTCACCCGGTGCTCCGTCGGGCTTTCGGCGTTCTCCCCCTCGCCGTGGGTGTCGCAGGTGGGGTGGACTGCAGAGCGCTTGGGGCAGGCCATAAACTTGGGGAGATACTGGGGAAAATAAGCTGGCACAGTCGTCTGGAGACTGTTGGGTCTGCGTATGGCAGCAACAAGTGAATTTTTCAGGTGTGAGGCAAACTGAGTGAGCTGGACGGTCTGAGAGGTTCAAAAACCAAGAGACCGTGTTGGTCTCTCAATGCAGTCAGGAAGTTTGTGGACTGAGTTAGCTTGTGTCGCCTTACAATTTTGTTCTGGTCACTTTTTTGTCCAGTTTCACTGGAATGTAGCTCTCTGGAGCAGAGGGGGTTCCATCCTGGTTGCACAGCCCCGATGGCGACGTGCTCCCAACCCACGGTTTGGTGCCTTGGTGGCTGCAGTGGACGTACTCGCGGTGTTGGGTCCCGTTTCTCTCCTCATGGTTGTACAAAGCGAACTGCAAAGACGGCTCAGCATCTGCTGAGTTTTCAGCCAGGATGAATTTGACAAGCATGTTATTGTTGGTCTTGTACAGTGCTGAGAAATGCTTGGCATCGGTTTCCAGCTGCATCCTATCAGTAATCGTAAAACCAGACTAGTAACAATGGGAATAAAGAAATGTTTCTTTTACTAAGGAATGATTGATTTTTTTCATCTATTTTTCCAGCAGACATTCTGTTTGTGTGTTCCAGCAGTTATTTGCATAACACTGCTGCTCTAAACCAGCGGATGTACTTTGTTGTCACAATAATCCTTTTGAAAGTGGTGTCAAAACGCGTCGGATGTTTGCTGATAAACCAGCCGTGAAACTGCTAGTGGAGATGTTTGCGAAGGTCGCTGTTGTGCTAGTTAACATGTGTTCTGAGGCTTGGATTTAGATGCTGACTTCTTAGGCTGGATCATTTCAAGTTAGTTTTGAAAGTAAAAGTCATAGTTGAGGAAACTGGAAATATACTGTTTGCTTGCTTTTTTTTAAATACTGTTGAAAACTACTGAAAATAATCTTGAGTTGAATGTTCCTTTGTAAAAATGCACGTGATTAAAGAGGAGTTTGTTTTTATGAACAGGTGAATTCCAAAGAGGGAGAACCTCCGTGCAAGGAGAGACGCGCGATTCTGCTTAGCCCTGTGGGAAAGATCGAGATATCTGGGTGTGAAAAAGGCTTACATGAAATTAAACTTCCAAAAACGAGTGTGCTGCCAAGTAGGTAAGTTCATGTCCTATTGATCCTGTGTTTACGTGTGTGGCAGAGGAAGGACATTGCCCAGAGGATCTGCAACATTACGTGTTTTTACCAACCTTACTGGCAACCCAGCACTTGCTGCTGTGAGAGGCAGAAGGAGCCTCCAGCGCCTTTAACGAGTGGCAGCTCCAGAAAGCATTTCTTTCTCTGCGTCAATAATATGAGCAAAGAAATAGTTCTAAAGTTCGAAATTAAAAGTGCTTTTAACACGGGTTTTGAAAGTACCTCTTGCCCCCTGGTTTTGGACGCACACGTAATCACTGAAGGGTAGGACCTCCTTGCATACTGTGCAAATTTTGTAGACCTGTATCTGGATAGATATGGTCCGACAGGCAGAACAAGGACTGAATAATTGTTTTAATTACTGCATGCTACTTGTGAGAGCTTTGGTTGGTTTTCTGTAGCGGTAATGTCTTCTGGAGTCCAGAACAGATGGTGTACATGGCAGCAGGGATGGTACCTGAAATGTAGGATGGCTTGGGAAGGTATTCGTACATTTTAATGTTGACTAGAAGTGCTGTCCAGTCCGCTGAGTCCATCGTCTGTCCTGTTCGCATCTCCGGTCTGTGCCTGTTCCTTATTTGTGAGAAAATGCTCGGTGACGTTTTTAGAAGGAACACTGAACTCTTTCAAAATTACTAGATACCAAATTTCTTTGCCAAATTCCTCTGCCAAAAGGAAAGTTACTAATCCTACTTAAAGCTGGTCTCTTCAACTGTTTTTGATAATAAAATGGCAGCGTTTGCCACAGTCCATAACAGCAGAGCTTTTCTGACCAGGCTCTGACAGGTTTGGCTTCCTTCGCTCCACGTTGTCCTTTCTCCCCTGCTTTTCACTTCTGAAATTCTCCATTGATTTCTGGGGTTTTTGGTTGTCTGTTTTCCTATTTTATTATCTTCGCAATTTAAGTGTGTGTAAAAGTAATCCAGAGTATGAAGCATAATTTGTACTCTGGTTGAAATTTGGTTTTGCCTCCAATAAAAAAACTCTCAAGCCTCTGGATCTGACAGTTTTGCCAGCTCCAGTGATATAGAAATAAGTACTTCAGTTTCTTCAGATGCTGATTTCAGTGTTGGATTTCTACTGATGAGGAACTGAAATAAAGTGGTAGTTAGGATAAGGCTGAAGCTTGCTTTTGCGGCAGAGCAGCACCTGCCTGAAGAAGAGCTAAGCAGACGGAGATGCTTCACCCTTGAGAAGCTGAGACATCAAGTGGGTGGAATCACAGAATCACAGAATAGTAGGGGTTGGAAGGGACCTCTGTGGCCTGCACAGGACCGCGTCCAGGCGGATCTTGAATATCTCCAGAGAAGGAGACTCCACAGCCTCCCTGGGCAGCCTGGGCCAGGGCTCCGTCACCCTCAGAGGGAAGAAGTTCTTCCTCGGGTTCAGCTGGAGCTTCCTCTGCTTCAGTTTGTGCCCATTGCCCCTTGTCCTGTCGCTGGGCACCACTGGAAAGAGTCTGGCCCCGTCCTCCTGACCCCCACCCTGCAGATATTTAGAGGCATTTCTAAGGTCCCTTCTCAGCCTTCTCTTCTCCAGGCTGAACAAGCCCAGCTCCCTCAGCCTTTCCTCGTAGGAGAGATGCTCCAGTCCCCTCATCATCCTCGCAGCCCTCCGTGGGCATCGCGCCAGTAGCTCCTCATCTTTCTTGAAGTGGGGAGCCCAGCACTGGACACAGGACTCCAGCTGGGGCATCACCAGGGCAGTGTAGAGGGGAAGGAGAACCTCCCTCGTCCTGCTGGCCACACTCCTCCTAATGCACCCCAGGATCCCATTGGCCTTCTTGGCAGCCAGGGCACACTGCTGGCTCATGGTCAGCCTGTCGTCCACCAGCACACCCAGGTCCCTCTCCACAGAGCTGCTCTCCAGCAGGAGAAGAATAGTAGGAAAAAGGTCTGTGGGCTCGCTAAGGTGATGAATACGAGAAATAGTGGTTCTTCTTTATAATGCTAGCTGTAAAGAGAACTGCATGAAAACAAAAGCTGAGGACAAAAAAAAATCATGAAATTGTACTAAAAATACAGGCTCAAGGTGAAATGGCGTATTATCAGCAGAAAATAATTACAGGCTCTTGGTGAGCAGAGGCCCAGAAGGTGGATGGGGAGGTGCTGTTCTACTGGGGGTGTTTGTGTAGCTCTCCTGGAGAGGTAAGAGCAGAGGTCTGTGTCTGACTTCTGTGTTTAGTGCTGAGGTTTTGAATATTTCACTTGGTGGGTTCCCTTCTCTTTTTGAACTAAGTTTCCAGGGACAGAAATCGATCTTTCAGGCACGCAGATGTTTTTTCCAGGAAATCCCGCGTGTGTCCCCAAAAGCCCCGAGTACTCTGTGACTCCCCTCTGCCCACGCAGATGAAAGACGCCGTTGCTCGCCGACGCCGGGCCGTTTCCCTGCTCGAGGGACCCTGCTGCAAGGCCAGCTCTGCCCTTCACCAGGACATCTGCCGCTTGCTCGCAGGGACCCTGGCCAGGGCGGCTGGCTGGAGACGGGTCTCGTGGGCTTCTTCTTCAGGCAGAAGTCGGGCGGTCTAGATTCTTTTGCTAATTCCAGAGTCCAGCGGAGGGCTACGAGGATGGTGAGGGGACTGGAGCATCTCCCCTACGAGGAGAGGTTGAGGGAACTGGGCTTGTTCAGCCTGGAGAAGAGAAGGCTGCGAGGGGACCTTATAAATGCTTATAAATATCTGCAGGGTGGGTGTCAGGAGGATGGGGCCAAGCTCTTTTCAGTGGTGCCCAGTGACAGGACAAGGGGCAATGAGCAAAAACTGAAGCAGAGGAAGATCCGTCTGAACATGAGGAAGCACTTCTTCCCTCTGAGGGTGACAGAGCACTGAAACAGGCTGCCCAGGGAGGTTGTGGAGTCTCCTTCTCTGGAGATATTCCAGCCCCGCCTGGACAAGGTCCTGTGCAGCCTGCTGTAGTTGACCCTGCTTTGGCAGGAGGGTTAGACTAGGTGACCCACAGAGGTCCCTTCCAACCCCTACTATTCTGTGATTCTGATTCTGTAATTCTTTAATTTTTATCTGCTCTTGACCTGCCAGTTTTCTCAGTGGTGAGCTGACTTCACTTCTGGAAAGCCAGGAAATTTCTGCACTTAACTTAGCAGATTGCATGGTTCGCACTCAGAAATTGTTGTGTTAGAGGGGCTGTTACTCAAGCGTGGCTCAGAAGTTAATGGTAAGCAAAATATTCTTACGGTTACTTCAAGAATTTGAATCGGAAAAAGAGGTGGAAGGGGGGGGACTTCCTTTTGTAGTTACCGATGATAAAGTTCTAAAAATTTTAAAGCTATCTGTAAATGTTTGTGCTGAAGTATAACATTTAATCTCTTCTACTCATCGCTAGTGAATAGTTGTTAAATCTGGCCTCATTATTTTCGACAGAATAAAATAAAAACAAAACAGTGCCCAGTGTTTCTCCTAACTGGCTAATAAACACTATGGTGAGAACATTGGGTAGGAAAAAAAAACAGAAGAAACATAAAAATTGATTTTAATGGACCCCTGTCAGAGAACACCATAATGAGCGCAAGTCTAGTAATAAATATTGGTATTCTGCTCCACGGTGCCTGGGACTTTCATGTAGAATTGCATGTAACAATCAATATAGATTTTAGGGTTTTTTAACAACAAAAATAAGTAAACCTTTGAAATATATAAATACTTAAGACTCGCAATCTGTCAGACAAACCTGCTAGTTGTAGAACAGGCTGATAAGAGCGCCTGGTTAATGGCATAATCAGTTTGAGGCGATCTTGCTCTATTTTACAGCTTGTAAAATGCAGTGCAATTAATCACCTGAGATTACAACCTATTCTGTGATGGCTCTCCTTAAAACTTAAGAACACAGACTGTAATGTAGACTAAAAGGAGAGGCAACAAAGTGAAATGCAGTTTTCAGTATGCTTGAAATAAATTGATCTATTAATGAGATGAAACCGACTGTAATAACCTAAGGTTATTCTGCTCCTTGCGAAGCTGGCAGAGTTTAAAAGTCAAGGCACGTCACGGCGTAATGGTTTCTGTTTGGGCGGAGGAATTTTTATTCAGGCTTTTTAAACGTGTGTGTAGATATGCATAAAATAACATTTTGTATATATAAATGAGGAAGTTTAGTTAAATATGGTTGTGAAAGTTTTAATTTACTGAGTGCGAGCTTTCTTTCAGTGCATACAAATAGAAGGATTAGTTTTGATCACGAAGGTTCTCTTTCCTGCACTGTTCCTGCCTGAAATATTGCAAGTGTTTTTTTGCATCGTGTCCAAAAGAAAAACTCGCTTTTTACTGTTACTGTAATTCTCAGTGTCTTGAGCAGCTCTGAAGTTTCAAGCAGCAGCTTTCTTTGTCCTGCTGTCGGCTGGGGTGTTCCCGTGCTGGGACGGCTCTGTTTGGGAAGCCTTGTCTCTCCCCTGAGCTGGAGGGGTAAATTACCCCATGGCGAGTAGGGGTTTGCACTCTGACTCCTGTTAACAGCAGCAGAAACCACGCTTGTATTTTCCCGTGCTGAATATTTACAGCAGGAGATGCTTTGGAAACATGGGATGTTGACTTGGCAGTTGGGGTGGCTGCAGGGAACAGTTTTTTTCCCTGTGTTGCAAAAATCCAGATCCTTTCAGGAATATTCCCTCTTCCCTCAGGAGAGTTGCCCCAGGGCTCCCAGCTCCCTGCGTGGTCAGCGTGTGGCAGGGGTTGTCTAGCCTACACCTGCCGGTGCGGGGAAGCACAGCGGGACCTGGAGGGCTGTGGTAAAAGAAAGGGCAGTGGTAGAACACGCCTCGAGGTAAACCAAAAAGCTTCCAATGTGTGGCTGGAAAACCCCATCCTGCTGAGCACTGGGTCACAGCAGTGCAAAATCCCACTGCCTACTGATGAGCCTGCGTGTGAAGGGGAAGTTAAATTTGCCATCTGATCGGTGGGCACAGATCCCAGGTTATCCTGGTGCTGCCATCCACCATGGGACTGGAGG